TTTATTACGATACTCTTTTCAGAAAATATCGGATTTTCTTTGTGGTTTTCAAAACAATACAAAACATTATATTTCAAACATTACTTATGAACTCACCAACATTTCATATGTTGACGTTTTTCAAAATACTTGTATTCTCAGGTAACAGGTAAATCGAAGGGAAAAATGTACTCAGTGATGTCTTGTTGTTTGTTTATCCAGTATCGAACAATTTACTTTTTGGGAATGTAATGTTATGAAACAATGTACTAAATGTAAACGCTACCAGTTGTACTATTTCAATGCATGGTGATGAATGATGTTATGTTTCATGTATATTCACTGTGATGGTATTCAATTGAGTCACAACAGCCCTCGAACGTTTCCGCCATCTGGTTCGGGGGTGTGACAAAAAACTACTACCAACAGTTATTAAAAAAAAATTAATTTTACACAACAAAACAAATGATAGATGGGCCAAAGACAATGCAAAATCCTCGAATAAGGATTGGAATTGCAATTCAAATCTTTTTAGGACCAAAACCAAAAAAAATGGTTAAACTCAGGGATAGAAAAGTTGTGAAATTATTCTTGATTACCATATTTTTTTGGCTCACTATTACGTGTAATGAGTTGGTTTTTTACTCCAAGCAACCACAAATTGCTTTCACCACATGATAATTTATGTTATCTTTGAGGAAAATAAAGGGTATCTGTCAAATTAAAGATGTCGATACTTTGTATTTGATCCTTAAAAGTTAAACCATTCAACAATTTATTTTTTTAATAAATCATCTGTTTTGGGTGTGTTCCAATAGCCACGTATGCATATTACATTTTCGATAAATATAAGCTATACCAGTAAACACATTTTAGCATATTCAAGTATTTGTATAAAATTTAAAGCGTTAGGAATAAATAAATATCATCAGAAAAATTCAAACATAGACCAAATTTCATAAAAAATGAATTGAATGTCCATTTATTCATGTATGTGAATATAATTTCACTCATACATTCTATCAAACACCTTGTATGCATTTTCACAATCATCAACTCGTGTATCCTTCTTATCATTTTCTTATTACAAGGTACACAACATTTAATCAAATGAAATTTCAATGGCAATTTGAAGCAACTTCATATGATGAGATGTAATTTAATCATTTGTGCAAGGTGTAACTCAATGAATAGACAATTACATGTTTCTTTTTATAAAGAATGAAAGTAGAATTTAAGAAGGAAAATAAAGATTAAGCACCTGCCAACATGGAAGATTATAAAGTTTTGAAGATTGAACACCCACCAACATGTATCAGGGATGAAATTGACCAAAGAGGAAAGACACATAGACACATAATATAGATTTTACAATTCACAAAAGAAAAAGAAGATACACAAAGAAAGTAAAAAAAAATAAATAATTAAATAAAAATAAAAAAATAAACTCACCGGTTGTGCTATCTATTGAGGTGTAAACAAAGAACATACGAAGAAGAGCAGTCAAAGAAGCCCAAACTTATGGTTAAAACCTTCCAAAGAAGCAACCGTTATAGTTGGAGACGAAATTTGTAAAATAACAATAAATGTGTATTTGTAATTCTAATTATAAAAGGAGATTGAGGAATTGAATATTAGAAAAGTTTAAATTAGGTAAAAAATAAATCATGCATACAATTATGGATGAAATAAATGCACTATACAAAAATAGATTTCGAATAAACTCTTTTCTTATAGCACTCAATTAAAAATGAAAATGATTGAAACTATTAGAAAACGGAAATGATTGTTGATTTAAATCCCAAAAAATCAGGGTCAATTTCAATCTCAAAAAATCAGGGATTATGACTGTAAGTTAAGAATGTAAGTTACAAAAACGATGCATGCTTATTTTTATAAAGAATGAAAGTAGAATTTAAAATGGAAAATAAAGATTAAGCACCTGCCAACATCGAAGATTTTAAAGTTTTGAAGATTAAACACCCACCAAAATGTATCTGGGATGAAATCGACTAAATAGGAAAGACACATAAACACATAATACAGATTTTATAGTTCACAAAACAAAAAGAAGATATGCAAAGAAAGTAAAAAAAATAATAAAAATAAAAAAATAAAAAAAATAAACTCACCGGTTGTGCTATCTATTGAGAGGTAAATGATGAACAGACAAAAAAGAGTACTAAAAGAAGCTCAATCTTATGGTTAAAACGCTTACAAAGAAGCAAACATTATAGGTGGAGACGAAATTTGTCAAATAACGATAGATGTGTAGTTGTAATTCTATATATAAAAATAGATTGAGAAATTGAATTTTAGAAAGGTTTAAATTAGATAAAAAAAATAAAATTTTCATACAATTATGGATGGAATAAATGCATTATACAAAAATAGATTTGGAATAAACTCTTTCCTTGTAGCACATCAATTAAAAAATGAAAATGATTGAGAGTATTTGGAAACAGAAATGATTGTAGATTTCAATCCCAAAAAATCAGGGATTATGACTGTAAGTTAATAATGGGAGTTACAAGAACGATGTTTGATCAAAAGTTTAGTCAAGATGACATCATCAATTTAATCTAATAGTGGAAAATATAGGATTGAAAAACAATCAAAGACCCTAATTACTTGATTGATGAATTAAGTGTTCTCTTTTAATAATATTTAGAAAGACGGTATGTTTTGTAATTTATACTGTTGCCTATCTAATACTTGCTTAGGGCCGACCATGGATTCCCTCCATGGTTACCAACAAGTTATACTTCGTAGCCATTTTCTTGGATGCTACATTGAGAAAAGGTGGAACGTGTACAAAACTAAGCTCTTGATCCTATTACCGTGATGCATCTTAATTAAATGATTTTATGCCCTTTATACAACCACCATACGCAAAACGTACAAGAAATTATGGTTTTGAGAAATTACGTAAACCACCCTTTTTAAGTATATGTATTTATGTATTTGTTCATAACTATTTTACTATAAAACCCATAGAATGCATGTCATGACATAATTCGATTTAGGTATTAAATTAAAAGTAAAATACAATAATAGTAATAAATAAAGTGTAAAAATGTTCAAAATTAAACAAAAAATAAAATAAATGTCTAAGCCCGGGTTCGAACCGGGGACCTCTAGTGTGTGAGACTAGCGTGATAACCGACTACACCACCCAGACATTTATGTTTGTATCGTACATTATAAAATACTTAATTGACGGAAGCAAGGGATATTTTCCCGAGATAATTTTTTGTTGATTTTATAAGAAAACTATGTTGGATGATTAAACAAACAATGTTGCTACAATAATAATATCTGTCAAACGAGATTTTAGAGATTTGCATTTACTTTTAATATGTCCATCGATAGGTTTTGGTATGTATAATCTATGTTATTTTTTGAGTTTATTATAATTATTTATTTGTTGAAACCATTAAAATAATTTCCAATTTAGCTTTTATCAAAAAATTATTTGAAAAAATTATTGATATATATAAAGATTTTTTTCACAAGTTTTCCAAATATATCTTTATATGTTCAAACTTTTTTTTAATTTTTTTTGTTTTGTTTCTACATGTTTTATAAAATTAGCTTTTGTATAATTATGCTTTATTTTTTGTTACAACTATTTTTGCAATTGTTTTTATATTTTTACAAACAATTCTCTTGTATATTCAACTTTTACAAATTTCATTTTAAAGATTTATAGCTTTTACAAATCAATGTTTTTTACATATTCATTTTAATTTATTTAAGGCTGTAAAAAACATGTAAAAACTAAGTTTTTATATATTCATTTTTACAAATATATAAAAAAAATTAGGTTGTGAAAAAATATATTAAAAAAAGTTATAAAAATGAGTTGGGCAAATGTCATCAAAAACGTAATATAAAAAAAGTTATAAGATAAAACTAAAAGACTCATCAAGGAAAACTTTCATGGATCTTGATATAATAATGTGTATAAATTTGTATTTCATAGACATTTATGCTTCTTGTATCGACTCGTTTTTAATTAAATATTCAAAACTATTTTATTGTCATTTCAAAATTATGATCTATTTTATCACCTAGTTTTATTAAATGCTATTAATTTATCAACAAGTTTATCAACTATCAACAAAAACACACATACTATTTATAATTGAATACAAAATCATCGGAAAAAAATAACAATTAAATCCAAAAGTTGTTCATTAGTGGTTCAGTTCCACTATAAAAAGCAAAAATTAACATAATTGAATATCTATTTTTTTTTCTCACAAAGCTTTAAAAAACTAGTAAACCGTATCTAGTTGGAAGTTGGAACCATGGCCAGTGTGAAAAAGGGTACTACTGTCCAGCCAAAAAAGCCTGGGATGAAGGTTATTGGGCTGCTCCAAAACAATATGGGCTGCTCCAGTTGGGTTGTTGTCGTTATGCTGTCTAACCCCGTTTCTTCCTCCACGACTGGAGTGATTTGACTTAAGAACTTAGGAGAAGAAGGATTGTCATTGTGAAAATGTGAGATGTTTGTACGCTGCGATTGCGGACTTGTTCCATACTTTGTTCTTCAAGAAGAAACATAGATGGTGCCTAAAAAATGTGTGGAATGGAGTTTCAGGGTACAATACCAAGTTGTTGCGTCAATATTGTTAAGGAGATCAACTAGAGTTTTTATCCAGATGCAATATTTTGTTATTATCGAGTTGTTAATAATGATGTTGTGAAGTTCATTGTCGAGTTGCATGGACCTAGCATCTTTGTTGGTGTGGAAAAGGTCTTCAAGAGTCTCTCAAACATGACTTGTGGTAGGGTTTTTCTTCAACATCATTTGAACGAGAGGTTGCATTAGGGTTTACATGTAGCCATATTTTTGCAATGACATATGTTTTGCACTATTTTGGATCATTTGGTTAGTTGTTCGCACCATCTAGATGATGAGAGGTGTTGTGAAAAATGAATGTGTTTGAATTAATTCGCATCAAGTGTCGTTGTTTAGATGATCAAGGTCTAAGGTGAGGAGGATATATGTTTTTATGTTTGCAACTCCATACAGTTTATCTGAATTTTGTATTGGCTTTGGCGTGATAGAAGAGACTGAGAATAAGATGAAGAAGAAGGGAGGAACTGGGTAATTGATTTATGAACAAACTCAGTAATTAATAATAGAGTAAATTACTGAAATTGTCCCTATGTTTTGATTAAAATTGCACTTTTGATCCCTAATTTTTATTTTGCACTCAAATTGTCTCTAGGTTTGATTTTGTTGCGTTTTTCGTCCCTATGATTTGATCAAAATTGCACATTTGGTCCTTCACTTTATGTATGAAATGGACGAAAAATGCAACAAAATCAAACCATAGAAACGATCCGAGTGCAAAAGAAAAGTTAGGGATCAAACGTGCAATTTTAACCAAACAATAGGGACAATTTCAATAATTTACTCTTAATAATAATAATTGAATTTATTATGTCTAATTGTATGATAAATAATTTCCAATATTATTTGTCGGTTTGATCTAAATCTAATATAACATAGTTGTGAGTTTGTGACGTTAAGGCTAATATTTACTAAATGAAATGTGTTAGTTGACAAATTGTTTTAATATTTATAAGACAAATTCTATCATGAAGAGAGGAGGAAGAATTGCATTATTTATTAGTATTTAATGATGTGCTCTTTAACGATCATGAGTCATGACAATGGCATTGGGGCTATCCACACATGAAATTTTCTGTTTAATCCAATCATCCTTTTCTTGATAATATGTTTGTGATTAACAATAGTAAAACAACATGAATAAATATGCTCCAATCAAAGTTAATATCTTAGGATGAAGGATTGGATTGGATAGAATCGAAGAAAAATTGCACTATTTTGTTAGTATTTGATGACGTGGTCTTCAATAAATATGCGAATCTGGATAGGGGTAGGTGGGGTTGTATTATATTCTTTGTCTGATTTTCAAATGAGACGTAGAGGTCGGAGATCATTTATCTTGCATGTGTCATCTTTGTGGTACATTGAATTCAATGGCCCACGGATTTGAGGGTCTTGATTTCATTTTTTAACAATAACAATGTAAAAAAGTTGTTGAATTAAAGGCATATGTAATAATAATAAAATAGAATGCACCTTAAAATCTATAAGCAAATCTACCTTTATATAAAAAGCTAAAGAGTGTCACCGGGAAACCTTCCCATCAACCCTCCACCTCCGGCCGCCAGACATCACCACCAACGTCATTTTTCGATTCACTAAAGTCTCGAACACAAAGCCTTAGTTCTAACCGTCAACCACATATCCAACGTAAGCCCTATCACACACACAAACGCCATCACTATAAACACAAGGCGATAACAGTGTGCGCCAATGCAGGTGTTGCAGCCACTGGCGGTGGCAGTGGCCTCTGTGTCATACAAGAATCCGGGGAGTAGATCGGGGAACACGAAGTAACCGAGTGAGAGGTTTAGGATGAGGATGTTGTAAATGAAAGCATAACATTTCAGACCAAATAGTTCGGAGGCAGTTGGAACAGTAATGGCTAACCGCACCCTGTAGCATATCCCGACCAAGATCGAGACGATGCAGAGTGACCCGGTCATGGCTATAGCCATAAGAACATAGCCTACCACCATTAGAATCTGGGATTTTAGATTCCATAGAGGTCTTGGTGTTCCAACCTTCTGGTAATTATTAATAAATCTGTAAGCGCATAATAATAATAATAATAATAATAATAATAATAAATATATGTAAGCGCAAAAAAATAATAATAATAATGGACAACATGCAAGAAATAGAAAACATAATTTCATTTATTTTTTATTACAACATCCTACTACTTTTGTTTTATTACTACTTTTGTTTTATTACGTAACATTGCAATAAAAAAAATGAAAGAAAATAGTGAAAGTAGTAGGATGCTCTCATTGTACTTTGAAAATTGTATCCGGTTATAAAATTATATTTTAGTTTTTTTTTTTTTTTCCTATCAGAACAACGTATCTTGAAAACATTTATGGTGAAGATTGTTTTGTAAATTGGATGATATTGTTATAGTTGGATATCTTATGGAAGGTATAATGTTGTGATAGGAAAAAAAAAAGTAAATTATATAGTAAATGAATCAATGATTTTTAGAAAATATTCAAGGAAATTACCAACACAGTTGCAGAAATGGAAGAAGAAAATAAATGAAAGACAAATACATAAAAAAAAATAGGAATAAATGAGATAAATTTTATTTTTCTGCCTTTTTTATATGAAGTTATGTATTTTATAGTAAATCACACACACACACACACACACACACACACATATATATATATATATATATATATATATATATATATATATATATATATATATATATATATATATATATATATATATATATATATAGAGAGAGAGAGAGAGAGAGAGAGCGAGATAGTTAGGTTCAAATGTTTTTAGCAAATATTGTGTTCCTAAATGTACCATTAAGAATTCAAGAAATAATAAACAATTAAATAAATCATTTAAGGGTATTCTGGATATTTTGTACTTTTTAATTAAGGAATCCTTTAATTGAAATCCTGCAATTAAGGAAATAAAATCAATATTTTTGACCTACTCTTTCTCGTGCATTGTGTCTTATAATTTGGGACTTTCTCAAAGACTATGGTCTCCATTCCGATGAGTTCCTCTCTGAGCCTATTATTTCACAGGTAAAGCAATCTGTTCTTTTATCTTGAAATTAGGTAAAGAAAATAATGTATTTTGAATGTAATTGTGGACATAGGAGGAATCTACTGTCTTCCAATGATATTTTTTTCCATCGATTTTTGTGGTTTCCCCTATCACCTCTCATTTTTTCACGGTTGTTCCTTTTGGGTAGGTTCGATTTGCCTTTGATTTACCTATCGATCTTCACCTTTCTCTATCCCTCTCGCCCACGTCGCTGATTCCGACCATAGACGGAAAAGAGAAGCATCAACAACGAATATGCCTCCATCAAGCAGAAGGTAATTCGAGGGTGTCTACTCAGTCAATGGTTGTGTCTATCCTCTCTCTGATTCCTGCAATACTAGACGATTTAAAGGTAATGTTGATTTGAGGGTCACCACTTCACCGTTTGTGGATGATAGATCGATTAAGAGAGAGGTGAAGACCAGCCCACCAAGGTACGTTGTGATTTTAGTACAGAAATTGCAGGCTTCATGGGAGGTATTGTCTTCTCTACTCTCAATGACAATGATAGGAGTTCCAATCTAGTAATTTATAGGGCTTTCTTATTGATTTAGTAATGGAGATAGTAATGGAGTTTCATTTTTCAACAAAGAGTCTATGGAGCAATTCGAGAAACAAGATATTGCCTTCCAATTGATTGAGCACATTCTTGATAAAGTTCAGATTGATACCTGACTTTTAGAGCATGTACGCCTTATCTCAAAGGATCAACTCCGATTGATGACTGCTTTTCTAAAGGTAACAATCATCAAACATAATTTATTCGTATGAACAGCTTTAGAAACAAATATGAAGTATAGTTTTGTTGGCATATAAGGAAGCATGATCGGACAAAATAGGGTGCAACACTGAAAGCTAAGATTAATACAAAGCTTTCTCTTTTATGTTCATATGAATTTTATGTTTATTGTTCTGAATTGGAATTTTATTCATTCATGATTCATAGAAAATGTGGTGATTTAGGGAGCGCCCTAGAAGTGTTTGATGAAATGCCAAAGAGAAATATTATCGTATTGATCGCTTAACATGTCATGGCCTCAAATTTTATTCATGGTTAGTGATGGAATTTTTATCGAATGTTTATCGATTCTGAATAGCATTTCCATTGTTCTACTGATTTATGCATTTTTTACTTGGATATTTTTCCAATAGAATGCTTACAGCAACTGAATCTTGAATTCCAATTCTATCGGAATGGAATCACGAATTCCTATTCTATTGGAATGAAATTGCAAGTTTATGGATGATTGTTAATGTTGGTTTGTACGTAGAAATTATAGTTATATTATATTAGAATGTATATAACATTCTATTATAATTTATTGTTTTATTTTATTTAATGCACTAAAATTTTTAATATTTTGAAAGTTGATTATGTTTTCCGTGTTAATTTAGGATTTGAAGAGGTTGTCATTAATGTGGAAAATGAAGAAAACATGCAGAACGATATTTGTATTCTAACAGAATGTATTCTGTCAGAATTTATAAATTATTTATTAACAATAATATTCTTTTGGAATAGAGTAGTGCTCTTGTTAGATTTTGATATTTTTTTTCTTTTTTAACCAATTTTTGTTTTAATATTTAAGAATAAATGTAATCGTTAAACCATTATTAGTCATAATTTTTTTAGAATGATTGTAATAATTGTTTCTAGTATTTTTCTTCCGATGAATGAATGTAAATAATGATTCTTAAAGAATAAAATCTGTATTCTTTAGAAAATGTTATTCTTGATAATATGTTGTATAATTCTTTAAGAATGTTTAATATAAAACATATCTTGAATGAAACAATATTCTGCAAGAATAAAACCGCAAATATACTAGTTTATTGTTGACTTTTTGTCATTCTGATAGAATAAAATCGGTTATTATTAAAACTAATATTAAATTTTAATTACAATTAATTTAAATTATTCAGATTTTTTAAAAATAACGGAATTAATGATCCCTTAAAATCCGAAAATTTCCTTTTTTAAAATAGGTTAATTGACCAAAATACTTTTTTGCTGAAATTTCTTTGATTATATGATAAATGCTACTCTATTGTAATATCATAGACCATCAGATCATTATTGTTGATTCTATTATTCCGATGGTCCAGATATGTGCATTCTGGCATACAATAGTTACTAGAAACAATATAACCTAACCCTATATATATATATATATATATATATATATATATATATATATATATATATATATATATATATATATATATATATATATATATATATATTATATTAAGTGTATTAATTTTATATGAATCCGTAACTAAATGAATTTTATACGAAACAACATATTACTTCTTTATTAATTTTATACAAAACAACATACAACGAATTTTATATTTCTTTATTAATTTTATATATATGAATCCGTAATTTTATTGTTCATATAGCTTTTACGAGATTAAATATTGTTCATATTAATTTTATACAAAACAACATATTACTTCTTTAACTTTCATATGAATCCGTAACTAAACGAATGCCATATAAAACAAGACATAAATAAATATCGAAACTAATAAATAAAGAGAGGGTTAAATGAATGTCAAACATGACTCCTATAAGCCTTAAAAGCAAATCAAACAAGTTCTCAGAAAAGAGACATAACACCAAAAAAGCATCCCAACACAATTGACGATACAAAATGACCCTTGCAAGTCATCTCTAAACGATTTCAGGAAGAAAAACATACCAAAAAGCCATTCCCACTTGATTAAAAACCCACCATTATTGACCTTGAAATTTTGAAATCTATCTTCCTTAATGGCAAAGCAAAAGCATTCCAACCCTTTTTGTCCAACTAGGTTTTGAGTTTGGAAATCACCTAAAGTATGTATTAGTCATGTATTCATTAAGCACATTAAGTCAAACAAAACAAATAACAGTTAAGAACTGATTTAGATAGGATACATGAAAAAGTACGTTATTATTTAATAACATTATCCTATAATTTCTAACGAACCTAGTCAATCAATTTCATGTACGCTTTTAGTAGGGTTCAGGCTTTTTTTTTTTTTTTTTTTTTTTTTTTTTTTTTTTTTGCATATAAATACAACACGAAAAGAGAAACTAATAGCACTTAACGACAATTAAAAACGAGGCGCAACGTTTGGGACTAACAAAGGGCTAACAGGAACTTTGGGTCAAGTAATCTTAATATATAAATAGACATAACAATGTCATGATCAAATTCAAACCTTTGTGCTAGCCCTTTTAATATATTAGGTGATGTTTTTAATATTTTATGGTTATAATTTATAAACAGGGGTCGACCAAACCCCCTTTTAGAGTGGTGGTGGTCCATAAATAAAGTGAGTCCACATACATATAAAAAATATCTAATGAACCCTACTTGCAAGCCCGATAATTTAAAATATACGCAATACTTCTTTATAGAAACGTCATGGAAATTGCAACAAATAAGTATTATTTTAGAAAGAAAAAGAAAGCATTCATTTTATGAATTTATATTTTTTAATTCTTCAAATATAAGATTAATGAGTTCCTTACCATTTATTGCGGCTCTTGATATTGTGAGGTTTAGAAACAGTTTGCAGCATTTGGTAATGATACTAAAGAATCCATTTTAGAATTGTGTTGCCCTCAAAGTTTATACTTGAGACATGCCATATCTTGTGCCATAAGTGTTACTGATGAGCCATCAAGGTATATTCTCCAAATATACCATCCATGTTTTATATCATTTTACATATTTTATTTAGTTTTACCAAGATATATTCTTCGAATATACCATGCATATTTTATGTTATTTTATATATTTTATTTAGTTTTATCAAACTTTAATTTTTATTAGCTAACTTATCAATAAATAGTTATTTTTTATCTATCATTTACTTTTTCAACTAGTCAATCAAACATAATTTATAATCATTATTTGATAGAAAATAAACTAGCTTATTATAGTTTAACATTTGATAAAACCATAAAAATAACTTATTGTTATTTATAAACTAGTTTTTTTGATAACTTATTTTGAGATAAATTATGATAAGTTAGTTTGTAAGTTAAAAGTTAGCTTTTTAAAGTAAAAATTAACATTTTAGCTAGGAAGTTAAACTAAATAAAAAATAATTGTCAAATAAGTTGATGATAGTTGAGTTTTTATTGAATTAAGAACATAGCATAATATAAGATTCTTAATGTTACTCTTAGAAACATGGTGCTTTAACTAATTTAATTAAAAATAGGTTCTTTTTGAAAAGCAATCGGTAATTAAATACAAAAATAAATTAAAGTTCTCTACTCGCAAATTGATAGTTGTGAAGTCATCATGATTAAAAAATTATTGGTTTGGCCTTTGGAGGTCGATCTAAAAAACCTGCCCTACTTCATACCATTTAGATCTTTAAAAAGCGGAAAGGCAAGTTATCATTTATTAACTTGACCATAATATTATAAAATCAATAAACTATTTGACTATTATATAATATTATTTTGACTAATTATATGGTATTTAATTTCTTATCAGTTACATCATATAATATATTTATTGTGAGAAATAGATTCGAACAAAATATCTTTAATCGTAGCCGAAAATCCAAAATGCTAATATACTTATACATACATAAATGAATATTTGAATTTTAAATCTTAGGTCTAAAACCTAAGAGCTCATGATATTTTTAAAAGGAGTTTGTTATATCTTAAAAATTACAAATGTATAAAATTTTAAAAATAGACGAGAAAGGTGGAAAATACTCTGACACCGACCCAGATCCGATCCGACCGAAAAATCCCAAAATGCTTGTTAACGAAACAAATATTGACACGTCACATACCCGAGAGCCAGATCCATTTGATCCATATTGTTATGGACTGCAAGCCCTATTCCTACCCCACACAGAAACGATACGAACAATATCCAAAAATTGACGATTTGCAACTCCTCAAACATCGTGTGTGCTTCTCCGATCACCCACAATGTCTTTTCCACCACCTTGGATGACTCCCTTTGTTGAGTTTAATTGTGTTGCATCATGGACTTTATATTTTGTATCCGGATTAGGCCTGTCCATCTGTATTTATCTAGTAGGGTTATACTATAAGTATGCATGCATGTATGTATTATATGCTATCGATTATTACGTTTATTATTTTGTAACCCTAAACACCTCTACAGTCGAAGTTCTTAATCGAGCTCTTCTGAGGTGTTGAAGTATTAATCATACGACATATTCAAAGCCATACTTGTGTTTATATTTACGTTCATAATTGTTTGCTTGCATAGAATCCAATGATCCTAATCGAACCTAGTTCTAACAAGTGGTATCAGAGCAGGAGACCGTGTGATCAATACAAATTCCTTCTGTATTAAGAATTCTTTAGGGTTTCCGCTTTTATCGTATAAATAGAAGTCATCTTCTTTGTATCAATGGCAACTCTGTTTCAGATAAAACCCTAATCTCAAGTTTACAGGTTTGATTCTAGCAGCTCACCATGTCTCACGAAGATTCGCAAACAAATCCCATCAACATCTCAAACAACATTGGATCTACAACCAGGATACCCATTCTTTACACTCAAGACTATGAAGTATGGGAACATCACTTTGAAGACTACGTGGTTGGATCGGAAGATAATGGCTATCTCATCTGGGAAGCTATCACACTTGGGCCGTTTGTTCACTCAGGAACGAACACAACTGTTAAG